TTATATATGCATGTGTTATATTTCAACTTAAATTAACATATATACAGGAAAGCACTATCTCCAGCATTCTTAGAATATTTCAGTATTGTTTTGAAATGCTTGTTTTGTACTTGGCACTTTTTCAACATATATTTAGAATACAGATATCCGGAAAAGTGATAGAAATATACAGTTTTTGAAAGTAAAAGAAAAAGCTCTTAAGATATTATGCTATGCAAAAAGAATATTTTAAGACTTGATGAAGATATTTTAGATTTCATGTGTTCTCCATCTACAAATCATATGCATATACAATGTATACTCTTTTGAATATATAAATATTTGGTTGCTGAACGTTTTAGAATAATGCACATAAATTCAATTATCGAGTGCATTTTATTACCTATGTTATATTGTTTGATTGAAATAATTTACTTGCAGAATGTTTTTCAATTATCAAACATGTTTTTAATTAAATTTGAAGATTAAAGCGGTTTGTAAGCAGTTGTTGGAAAATTAAGCTACCGGGGTTGAACACGTCAATGATGTGTTTTGGCAGCCTAAATTTTTACCAAACTAATGAGAACAATAACAATTAGTTTAAGCGAAAACATAAACATAAAAATAAATTAACTTACTGGGAAAATCATTAATCTAAAATATTTTATATTATTTTTCGACATAAGGAAAAAAATAGATTACATCATTTTGAATTTTTGAAAAAATTTGATACCTCCTTTATTAACGTTAGTTAATTAAAACAACTATCAATTCGGAGGCGTATTTTCAATCAAATATTTGCATTTTGGAAGTCATTAAACTTACGTAATTGTTAGGTTGAAGTTTCGAACCATTTCACAAATTGTATGGCTCATTTATATGTTACTCAAATATGTAACAAATAATAAAGTGTTAAAGTTAATATTTTAGTAAAATATCTTAATCACTGAAATTTATTGAAATCTTTGAAAGTCTTACTGAATATGTCTAATTTGAAAAAAAATCAATTTACTATGATTGTATGGGAAGCAGCGTTCCCAATTACGGGTAAAGTAAAGATAGTCTTACCTTAAAAAAAAACTGCCATTTTTAATGACATTATGAAGTCATACTGTGACCATCTATAGTGTGTATAATTCAAAACATAGCATATCTACTTTGTTTGAAGTCAAAACATTTATTTTATATTTACAAAGTATGTAGTATTTATCAATATTTTCTAATATCGAATTTGAGTATAGTATATCTTTAATCATATTAATGGTTACCTTTATAGATTTCTTATTTCATTGTGAGTGTGTCAAAAATGGAGAGAAAAAAACAGTTATTTATTATGAACTGTTGCTGATATTTATTATAAAATGTTGTTGTTGTTGTTGCACGAGCAAGTAGGAAACAATAGATGTTCTTGTCTTCATTATTGAGTTAATAGTAGGAATGGGTGAAGAAGAAAAGCATTGTTGACATTTTATTGTCAATATATGATATTTTACATCCTATCTAACCTATATTTCACCAATCTTCTTCTTGCTTATGTTCTATGATAACAGGTTACAAGTAATAAACGTCATACCTGGAATGTGTTGTTGATGATATAATGTTGTATTAAAGGGACTCTACCAAGATGTTTTGACATGACCGGACTGGACATAAATTCCTGATATTTGTAAAAGGTTTGAACTAATAAAGTGTGTGCAAATTTTCAAAACATTCGCTTACCCGTTTTTCCTGTAAAATCGTTTTTATTATGCAAAATGATCAAAAAATGAAAAGCGCTGCAACGCTTTTCACTCCAGTAAAGCTAAAAACATAAGAAAACACTTGATATTCAATTTCATTCTGGGTATGGTATATTTCTATATTATACTTTGCAGATTTTTTTCATTTTGAGCGCTTCGCTTATTCTATGTAAGAATTTCAAATTTAATCTTTTAAGGCTTTTAAGACCTCAGTGGAGCTCCTTTAATGACCCCGAAAATCATGATGTTGGCTTATCATTCATAATTTTATACTAGTATCTGTAAAATTTATGTTATGAAATAATGCATCAGTACCTTAAATACCTGTCACGAAAAGTCTAATCCTGAAAAGTTATTAGGATACACCGATAAGCATAAACATTAACCATAAAAAACAGTGCATTGCAATCATTTGTAACTGTCATCGAAAGTTAAGAAATTATAATCAAATATTACCTTTTACTTATAACATTTGAATTTGTTTAAACGTATTATACTTCAAGTCAAAATAGTTATGTCGGTCGTCTAATAAAAGCATAAATTCTGACATTATTTGTTCAGGTTAATATTAGTATTAAGTTATAATCAATACGTGCGGTGCCTCTTTGGCAATAAATACGCAGGCAGCTGTTAAAATGCCAAAGTTATAAAGAAAAGAGCAGCTAAAATACATCAAAGACGTATTAGTGAACGCCCTGAGGATTTTAGCACAAGGAAATAACAAATATTAATTGTTATGTTGAAGTGAATCAATTGCACAGCATATGGCATGTAAGTGATCTGAACTAATGTAATACTAATATACATTACTAGATAATTCAAAAAATATTCACAGTTCTTATTATTTTACTATTCTATATAAAGCTTAACAATAAAACTAAAATGAATTCTGTGTAAAAGCTACTATTCAGAGCGATAAATATTTCTTATAAAAATGAGAATAAATTATTCAGAAGAACATTATCATTAAAAACTAACTGGTATGTAGTTACTTCTTGCTGACTTATTTTAGAATTTGGCAGAGAAAATGAAAAATCTTATGGCATATTTGTTTATTTTCTTTTGCTGGCGACTCTGTAAAGGTTATATGGCGATATTTCAGCTTTACAGGTGGAGAAGGAACCCTGACACACATTCGTGCGTAATTTCTGGCACGAGCGTGCCCTTTATGAACCACTGATCTTTCGTCTGCTAGTTGGATAGCTTCTTCACAAGAAAAAACGGGATTCAAAGCCATAGCGATGAGGGGCAAGTAACACGAGGTTAAAAACCTTAAATAATCGGCAACGGAGCCCATCCCCTTATGACATGTATATCATGATATCTGGGACACCTTATGCTTGACGAAGGTGCATTCTTGCGGTTGACCCTATGTAAGATAACGATAAAACTTGCATTTTTTATTTGAGCAAACGAATAAAATAACATTTGTAGGAGTTAGATATGCTTCAAATAGAAATGTCAATAAAATAAATAAGGTCATAAACATCATAAATTTGCCATTTAAATTTTCTACGTTCACGAAAATACTACTAACGGATTAGGTTTATGCGGTAATTTGAACTTTGCGTACGTGTAAAAGTCGAACCTATATTGGACAAGGCGCAGCTGTGTACATTTTTGAAAGCAGTTATTAAATTTTATCGTCACAATGGTTTGATACAATGATGAGTATGACTGGTTTCATTGTTCATCCTTTTTATCAAGACGCGGACAGAGAATGTTTAGGCTACTTCCTGCACTAACATTTATTATGAATTATATGATATAATTATAATACAGATTACAATGCGCGAACTTTCAATAAAAATTAAGTTAGTTTAATTTAGTTGAAAACTATACAATATAGTTCATTGTTTTCACCAGGTGTTACCACAGAAAAGAAAACAAACAAACACAGAAGTTTAAATTTTACTTGTCAGACAGTCGGAATAAGACTTTGAAGAAAATCGATGTGCTATCAATAATTGACTGGCTAGGTGTGTTTTGGTAAACAGAATGCAGAATGGAATGTTTAATTCATTGACATTAAACACATGCAAGAAGTAATTATTGAATGAAACGAAGCAGTGAATGCTTTGGTCTGTATTTTTGCATGAATTTTTTACCAAAGCAACATAGTTTTAGATGTCTGCTATCTATGCTTTAAATATAGCAAGTTTGACATAAGAAGACTTAAATGTGTTATACTATGCAAGTCTATTTAAAATAAGTGACTTCCAGAGCGGGACCAATTTTGATCCCAGGGACATGATAAACTTTGGCAGAGGACCACAAGGTGATGCTACATGCCAAATATCTGTACTTTCAAAGAAGATATCAAACATGTACATGTTTATGTCAACTAGGTGGCCAACAAGATGGGGCCATTTTTGACGCCATGGGACATACCTTGTTAATAAAACATGCCAAATACCAAAGCTGTGGGCATTGTAGTTTCACAAAAGAAGACGTGCATGCATTTTCCTTTACTACTATATATAAACTAAGTGATCCCCAGGGCAGGCAAATTTTGACCCAATGGACATGATTTATATACTTTAGGCAGAGGACCAAAATGTGATGCTAAATGCCAAATAAGCTCTGGGCATTGCACTTTCAGACAAGAAGATTAACACATGTTTACTATACATGTATAGTCTATGTAAACTAAGTGGTCCCAGGACAGGGCCATTTATGGCCCCAGGGGCATGAATTCATATAACTATTGTAGGGGTCCACAATGCAATGATACATTGAAAATATTCAAGCTCTGGACATTGTAGTTTCACAAAACGTTTAAATGCATTGTCTTTTGCGAGTCTAAATTAAATGACCCCTAGAAGGGATCAATATTGATTTATATAACTTTTGTAGAGGGCTACAGGGTGATGCTACATGCATAATATCTAAGCTCTCTGACAAAATATTATTAAAGATCTTATATTTTAATTTTTAGCTCCTGTGACCAATTTATGCATCAGATTGAAACTATCTATACGACTTTGGTAGAGGGTTACCTAGGGATCATTCCTGTGAAGTTTTGTCAAAATCTACCTAGTAGTTTCGGAGGAGATGTTGTTAAAAGAAACGGTGGATAACAACAAACCACACAGGACAGTCAATTTGCTATACTTAAAGATTACCTATGATCACTTTGTGCTTAGGTGAACTAAAAAACAAAATATTGTATTAATATTGTAAATTTTATTGACAAAATGCAGTTTATCATTGCACTAATTATCATATAACAAAAGAAATTTAAATAAATTAAAATAAATAAATAAATAATCAACAACAAAACAGTGTATATTTCCTAACTGATTAACCACATTAACAGATCTTGCCATTCCTAGATATAAAATAATAAAAAGGTTACTAAGTAATTATAAATTGATCATCATTGATGATCATTACAAAACAGAGATTTCTTTTTGAGATATCAAAAAATACATTTAAAAGCTATGACATTGTGACCTCCATTTGAAATGATAAGAATTTATACTTGTTAATTACATGTATTGTTTATAAGAAAATGAAGATTTTAAGATCTACCCTTCAGTGTCAGCACTAAATGTTAAGGATGGGACCATCAGTCGTCAAATACATTCTTGTATTCTTAGATAAAAACGCAACATCAAATCTCATCATTGCACAGTTGTAACATTTTTATAACAATATGAAAAACTGGCTTTTAACAAGATTTGTAATAGATTGTTAGAGCAACACACCACTAGATTTATGCAAATTTTTATAAAAATTTAAGAAGAGTGCAAGAAAAGTAATTGAAGGTAGCCTAAGACATTGAGATATATTTATAACTTAATAAATTTCATAAAATCTGAAAAAATATTCAAACAGATTAAAGTGGCATTAGATACTTCAAAGCAAGTATAAATATCAAATGTTTAAGTACAAGTCAAGAAGTCAATTGTTTTTATCTTTCACCATAGATGTTTTTGACTTTATATTCTAATTTGCATGTATAATAAATAATCTACACAACCCACAGAAATTTCACTACTGTATATAAATTAATTAGCTCAAAATGAAGCTTTAATAGATTATGAAAATTTAAACATTTCTTAAACTTTTGTCAAAGTTTATCTCCCTTTTAAATTTTCATAACTGTTTATATAATTGAAGATGTGCAGCTTTGAATCAATATTTCATTTGAATAAATATTTGATATTCAGTCTCAAGATAAGTGAGTTTCACAACACCAGATCTAAACACATATTACATTGTAAGTTACAAAACGATTGCTTAAATTTCATGATCTTCACTGACAGTTTGTAAAGGAACCATTTCATCATTGTCTAACTTAACCACCTCAGCTAAACTAAGGTACGATGATTCTTTCCCGTTCTTTTCTCTACAGATCTTTAGATGCCGGTCTCTATGGTATTTGGTTTGAAACCCTTTAAAACATTTATTGCACATATAATTTCGCTCACCCGAATGAACTTTTAGGTGTTTTTTGAGATTCTGTGTCTTATGAAACGTTTTTCCGCACACTTCACATGGATAGGATACCTCTTTAGTATGCACATATGTGTGTGTTTTTAAGTCAGATCTACGACCAAATACTTTATCACAATATTCACATTTAAAGTTTTTATCACCAGTGTGAACAACTAAATGATTGTTAAGATGGGCTTTTTGTCTGAACGCTTTGCCGCACTCCTCACATTTGTACTGTTTCTCCCCTATAAAAGTAAAATACTTATACAATAATATCTGGAAAAAAGTAAGTTTGCATAAGCTCTAGCATAACAGATAGCATTGAAATTTTAATGTTTACAGTCAAACCTGTGTTACAGACCATCTCTGAATACAGATAACACTGTAGATAAAGGCCAGTTTTTGACAATCCCTTAATGACAACTGGAATAAAGTAACTTCCTAATAAATACCACTTGTCTATAAAGACCATTACTTGTCTCTCCATTAGTGGCCTTTGTTCACAGGTTTCACTATATCTAACATATATATAATCTTTGTTGATGAGGAATTGAAAGCATGAAACTTTAAATTTCATAATAGAAACACAGCATGACTGATGAATAAATAATTTAATTTTATAAGAAGATTCAAACAAGATGCTTAGATCCGAAATAATGATTCTATAAGTTTAAAAACAATATAATTATGATATAAATTTGAATCTATATATTTACCTGTATGAATATGCATGTGTGTTTTCAGGTTACTGGAATCAGAGAACTGTTTCTTACAGTACGGACAGCTATGTGGCTTCACAAACATATGTATTGCCATGTGTCCGTTCAACTTTCCTTTTGATTTGAATTTTTTACCACACACATAACATGTAAAGTTGAAATTATATTTTTCTGGATGTGCCACTTTAAGATGAGAATGGAGCAATCGTTTGACAAGAAAATAGAGACCACATTCCTCACACTGATTGAATTTAATATTGCCAGGGTTTTGAGAAATTCCTGAAAAGTAATTTTGGAGAATTCAAGTGTTTCTTATAATAAAATGTTCAGACTTTTAATGTATTACAGTTGTATAATCAAATGGACTTCTAGAACAAGCTTCAAGCTGCTAAGTACAAATGTCAAAGACATGCACTGAAATTTCATTACAAACTATATCAAATCACAAAACTATAATTAATCACTTTTTAAATCCTGGATTTTTTTATCATCTAGAATTATAAAAACAAAGTTTCATCTGTGTAAAAATTGCAGTGTTTTTCCCATACAGTGTTGTTTTATTTCTGGGAAAAATACAAACTTTCAGCATTACTTAGCTATATTTCTAAAAAAAATCAACACGAGATAGCTTTACTGATATTTTGAAACATTCAAGTAGCTAGATAGCGTGCATACTAAAGTAATAACAAAGGCTCAAGATGGATTCCAACACTTGGCTAAGATTTATAATACATGTATACAAAGGGCCTTACAAAATCCTACATGCCAACAAGAATGATTTTTTATCACAATGACATTCAGCTACTTAAAGATTACCTTTAATACCTTAACTTTCTAATAAATTTTACAGATGAAAATAGGGACCTCCATGGCAGAGTGGTAAATTTGCTCACTTCAAATCTCTTGTCCCTCACTGCTGTTGGTACAAATCCCATCAGGGACTTCAGATTATGTCATGTGAGGAAGCTATCCAGCTACCTTACAGAAGGTTGGTGGTTCTACTGAGGTCTTCCAGCACCAGTAAAAGCTGGAAAGTTGTCATAAGACCTTTACATTGTCAGATTGACTTAAAATCCAACAAAAAGATCAACAAAAACTGTCAGAAGGCCAGTGTGCTAGACAATTCTCAGGGTTTGATAGTAAAATACAAATCTGGATAATGTAGAATTTTTTAAGTTCAAAAACGGGCCATAATTCTGATTTATGGGCCTTGGAGAGTGACCCAGTATGCCCTGAAACAAGTGTGTGAAGATTCAAACCAATAGTATCAAATAGTCAAGTTAAGAATAAGACTTCTACTTACCTAACTGATAACAAATCTCCGCTGAGAACCACATAAGTAACTCTTCTTCTTTGATTTCAGTTTTAGTCACTATAAAGAACATGTTCTGATCTCTATATAGTGTACAGTTTTGTTCGAGTAAAGACGGAGCAAATCGTATAAACATTGTCCAGTTACACACACTCTCGTTCTTCATCTGTAACACTTCTACCTGATTATCTCCCTTAGCTTGTAAATCATCATCTGTCTCAGCTTTACTAAGCTATAAAAACATAAATATCATGTTTTAAAGCAGCACACCTCCAGATTCATGTTAATTTTATTGAAATTTTTGAAAATGTTTTAAAAAGGAAAATATTGTGAGATGAACAATTAAAGCAATTTACATATTGCAATCGGCGCTTTTAATACAAGAAAATTTCCAAAAAATGGTCAACATAATATTATGCAAAAACAGACCTTACTGTGTTAGTAATGTAGTAGAAATATGGTGATAAGAAACTGCAAAATCAGTCTTAAACCGACCATAAAATGTGAAATATAACTTGGATCTTGATTTTTTTTTACCTTTCTTAAAATATTAGTACATTTTTCTCAATATTGATTTTCTTGAAATATTTTGGCTCATCTGGAGGCGTGCAGCTTTAAATATCACTGTCAACTAATCAAATTTTGTGACAGAAATGTTTGCCAAAGAGTCGGCGTTTCCCACTTGTTAGAGGGGAATGTATCAAATTTTACAGTATACATAGTGTATACAGTGACAACACAAATTCAGGAAACTGATCTTCAGAAACTGATTCGTTTTTCTTTTCACTAACTTTCATATTTTATGAAGTCTTAAAAAGTATGATATATATAACTCATCAAATTTTAGAATAAAAAGTTGGAATGTATGATATCAACAGCAATTTTATCATAACAAGATATGTTTGTAAAACATGTATGCGCCCTATCAGCAGCCAATTAGTCATGTGATCAGGTTATTATGCATGACTTTTGACCCAGTGAAATAATAATAATAAAATAATATTTGCATAAATTTTATGAATCATGTAGGCCTCATTAATGACAGCCAAGTTGTTTTATTACATAAGACCTTCAAATGTGTACACCAAATGCATTTTTAGTTAAATATAAAAAACTTGAGTTGTTGAGTTATTGGTCAGAAACCGTCATTAAGTACAAGGTAAATATGACATTGACCCCTTGACCCCAAAATCAATAGGGGTCATCTGCTGGTCATGACCAATCATCGTACAAAGTTTGAAGGTCCCAGGCCTAAGCGTTCTTTAGTTATTGATAGGAAACCGTTTTTACCTAATAGGTCAATGTGACCTTGACCTTTGACCCCTTGACCCCAAAATCAATAGGGGTCATTTACTGATCATGACCAATCACCACACCAAGTTTGAAGTTCCTAGGCCTAAGGGTTCTTTAGTTATTGATCGGAAACCCTTTTTGCTTACAAGGTCAATGTGACCTTGACCTTTGACCCCTTGACCCCAAAATCAATAGGGATCATCTACTGGTCATGACCAATCACCATACCAAGTTTGAAGTTCCTATGCCTAAGGGTTCTTTAGTTATCACTTGGAAACCATTTGGTCTACGGACCGACAAGTGCAAAGCAATATACCCCCTCTTCTTCGAAGTGGGGGCATAATAATTACTGTTGGAAAGTTTGATATCAACAGCAAATTTATCATAATAAGTTGGAATGTTTGATATCAACAGCAATTTTATCATAATAAGTTGGAATGTTTGATATCAGTGCCATGACACCTGTTCCAACTGACCATGTTATGCACCATTTTCTGTTTAGTCAATATTTCCTTGGAAATTTTCAGTTAAAATAATGAAAGGATTTGCAACCCAGATTAAAAAATTAAACAATTCCATTTAAGCAAGATATAAGCATGGTAAGTGAAATAAGGCATATTTGCATACAAGATTCAACATTAATAAATGACAGCAATGTAAAATTATAGGAATCATGTTGCCATGTAAACTACATGTACATACCAGGAAGGGTTGAAATCCATGAACTTGTTCCTCATATTCCTGTGTTGTCATAGTAACAGTTTGTCCAACAACTGGTCCGAACCTTGTTCTTTCAGATAAACATCCTTTACACCAAACACCTGTTGATTGGAATATATAAAACATGTATAGGCCTTTGAATGCTAGCAGAAGTAAAATCTTGTCTAAGACTAAAGGGTAAAATATAGATCAGGCATGCCTGCACAAATATGTGATCTGTCTGAATATGACCGATGACAATTTTAGTATGTTCATAATGAAATCACTTTATCTGCTGAATTGACATTTTGGATTCACCCAGCTTAGTATTACGGAACAGTCCATTCAAAGATACCAACAGAACCTGGTCAGACTGCCCAGATATGCAAGCTGATCTGGCTTTATACTGGTGGTAAAGGCTAAACACTTCCTATTCCAGCAGTGCAAGGGTTAAAATACTAATGTACTGTTTCAAATTCAAAGCAGAAAAAGCTTAGTGTATTTACAGGATTCCAAGAAAACACTCGTATATTACCTATGAGTACACATGCTGTGTTAACGCTCAAATGTTAAAATTCTAAGTTAAAAAGGGGCATAAGTTCTGTATAACTAAAAAAGATATTGCTTTCAGAATTATGCCCATTGTTTAACTTTTCACTTAAGTATTCTAATTCTTTTGAAATGTTTGAATAATTGGCTACATTAAAGGTTTTGCATGACATCAACAACAACGACTTCACAGCGATCTTTATAGTTTGACTTTTCCTTTGAAACACCCAAGATAAAACTTAGTAAAATTTCAAAATCTATTCATTTAAATAATTAATATAAATTCAATTCAAATGCAATATTTCAAAGATTGACTATCATAATAATGATCAACAAAAATTGATAATGATAAATGTTTATGATACTATACAAAAAACAACCTAAATTATAAAACGAATGCCCAACTCTTTTTAAGAATTCAAAGTAACCAATACATTCTGAATGATATAGAAAATTCGGTCACATGGATTATAAATTTTTTTCCATAGCAAAATATAAAACTGAACACAATTATGGCTTAATGTCAAGTTATTTTCATTTTTACTTGTTCACTAACCATTTACACCTGGATGGGCCTAATGTCACTTTAATTTTAATTGCAGGATAAAATGTTATTATAAATGAAGTTATACAAACCTGGAAAAGGTTTAAATTCCGACGTAGCAGTTTGCTGGAGAGTAAAACATGGAGGGAGAGAGGCTCGCGCTCGGCTAAGATATGGGGGTTTGGGATATCAACAAATCTGTTTGTTTACCTACAGGGCTCCTTCATCTTTTAACATCAACAAAAAATTTTAAAAATTAATAATTGATGTCAAAAAGAAAACTTAAAATCAAAATTATTAAAATGAGCTAATCTAAAACTTTTCTTTGGGGGGTTACATCGACCCCACTATAGGTTATAACAACTTTCCACTTTTGGTGGGGAAGACCACAGTGCCCATCTGACATTATTTCGTCACAAATGGGCCACCTGAGAGAACACAGCTTTTGAAGGCCCGGGTAGTTTTACATTTTATAATCCCAAGCACTTGTGTGCCGAACACACAGTGAGAGGAAAGTGGTTTATACTAAATTTAAATAAAGGGCATCCTTTTGTTTTCGTCTACCCTTTTCTGTTTTAAATTTCCTGTCCTAATTAAAAATTCATATTCAAAAAAATTAGAATTTGAACTAATTTTCACATCAAAAACCTTTGGGAAATTTTATTCATGTAAAGGCAGAAATGTAACCAATTAACCTTAGATTAAATTTATTTAACAATTTAACAAATCCACAGAAATATTACTTACAAATGTTGGTTTTTGCAGCTAATATCTCAGTTTGATTACAAACTTCTTCATTCTCATCCAAGTCAACTAAGTTGATGTGTTCTGTAGATTTATAGTTTGTTGAATCAACAATATTTTCACCTTGGGGTTCCTCTGTAAAGTAATACAACAGATGTATGCATATAATATCTTAACTTAAAACTCAGTCTCTTAAGGCGTAACTTAAGGTTATAATGGCAACTTTGGAGTTTTACTGGAGGTGAAATACCCAAGATGCCTCTTCGAGCAAAATTTAAGAAATTTGCAGACTCTCCAATAGTTCCAACATCTCCTTATAAATAACTATGATATCTTTCTTACGTGTTGAAGATTCAAACCCATTGTGAAGCTGGGTAAGTGATTTAAAGTCAACAAAAATAACTACATGGCCAAAGAAGTGCCTGAAACTTTAAACTGAGTTCCAGTGTGAGTTCCTTATACATGTAGTTGATGATTCATCCATTATCTTAACGTTTACAGCACTATAACAAATACTTTTGTCAATTCAATTCCTTATCTGAATACTTTCTAATCAGGAAACTTTTCTACTCCGAATTTTTCTTCTGGTCCGGACAAGTTCGGATTACAAAGGTTCCACTTTACAAATTAAGCATGGAAGTGGTTCAGCAAAGAGTCTCATATACACAAATGTAGTTTGTAAGAATGACAAAAGATCTAAATTACCATTTATATGACCTTGTAAAGGAGTATTTTCATTTGATTGGTCAACTGTATTATCTTGAACACTGGGTATAACGACAGTATTAAACTGTACAGCCTGTAGGAAATTCTCTAGCGTATGATTGGACGGTTTGGGCTGAATGCTGACTGGTGCATTGCTGGTTCTTGGTTCATTTCCAGTCATCAGACCTGAAATATAAATATTAAACTTCACCAGCAAATCTAATCTACAAACAAAACTTCATGATCAGTTACAATAAAGGTAATCATACAAAGTTTCTGTAAATTTAGAATTTCAGACCAACCATTGTCACTTCTGTTGACACCTCACATTTTAATAAAACATGTACCTCCTGTTGATTTTAAAAAATAAAACTCATTATTTTGATAAGAAAAACAATAGGTTAACAACTGAATAACCCTAAGTTTTTCTAAGGAGAAACCCAAAACAGAAATTATTGGTTTTTGCCTTGTCAAATATTTGAGCATTGAAACTTTTGTTTTAGTCTGGTTTTCATACATTTGTAGAACCAACACATTACAGGACATATAGTGACTTTCCAGCTTTACTGGATCTTAGTCGAACCATCTATGTTCCGTAAGCTAGCCACACAACTTCGTAACATAAATGGATTATAACCTACAGCGGTGAAGGGCACGTGGTTTCTAAGTTAACAAACTTAACCATTCAGCCACGGACACCCACTGAAACATTGAAATAAATTATGGTTAAAGCTCTAGTGAAAAAAAAGGCAGAGAGTAAAGAATCAGACCTGTCTATTGCTATATGAAGGTTGACCGGCTTCTATACCTGCTTTATTTAAGTACTTTGTACTTTGATAGAAACATTTCTGAAATAACTATTTCAAATTACGGCAAGTTCGTACAAATGAAAATGGTGAGAGTGTCAAACTTACTAGAAGATGTTGTAACACTATTTCTATCTGGAAGAGTTGATATATTCTTTTCTACTATTTCCTTCAATACTTCAGTATTTACACTTTTATCTAGGGATATAAGCTGTAAAGGCCCACCAGGCCCTGTAGGTTGTAACAGAAGAGGATGCTGCTGAATACCGGCTTCTGGCACTGCCATGACTGGAACCATTACTTGAGCTGTTTGATTAACACTGTTAGATAAGACAACTGGTAAATGTTGACCTTCTACTATTGGTGCCCTTATATTATTTTCTGACATATTGCCCTGAACAGGTGCTTGTAGCCCTGTTGTTGAAAGTGTTGGATGAATCATCTGTCCAAAAATCGGATGTTCGTCATAATCGCCATGGTGATTTCGCATACTCTGCATTGCTTCTTGTAAAATAGACTGAGTGTCAGGATGGAATACTGGCACAGTTTGCGAGATGTTTTGCTGATGACTTAAAGGCTGATGATTTAAATGCGACTGACTTGCTGTAAAATTTGCTAGCTGGTTCAACATGGAAGCGGCTGAGGAATCGGCGACAGATGCAGGACTTATTGAACTAATGTTATGACTAGATGTAGGAAGCTGTGCCTCACTTGTATTCCCAAGCATTGGGTTGGTTTCCTGCGGGAACATACTCTGAATGAGTGTGTGTATAGGCTGTGAAGTGAAATGATGTATGGAAGGAAGTGGTGCCTGGTGGTCAGACTGTCTACTTGCTGCAGGAACCTGTGGGTTACTAATACCCTGTAAACGAAATAAAAGTGATATTATATAAACTATTAGAAACATACAACAATATTTAAACTTTTGAATAAAAGATCAACAATACACTCTTAAGCATTTGCCAATACAGAAAGAGCAATATATTAAATCTATAAAACAAATTTTCATATCTGATTAAATTATTGAGCCTGCTTTACCATTCTTCCTTTATGGATATCTAGAAAGGAAAAATCGAAGCTTCAAGAGCCAAATAAGGTCCATAATACAAAAGATATTCAGTCATAAAAAATTAACAAACAGGTTAAAAAGAAAGACTGAATAAAGTTTATACAGTAAGTCTTACCTGGAGAAGATTTTGTAGAAGGGAAGCACTAATCTGAACATGACCTGGAGTATCGGCCTCTTCAAGCTGGTTCTGTACCGCCTGCACTTCCGGCACGGCAAACACGCTGGTCGAACCATTATTCTGTGCATTCACAACTGTATTAGCATCATGCTGACCAATGAGAAGATTTTCGACGGATAATTTGAGATTATTCGGGTGAGATTCATCTGAATGACAATCGGTGATAGTTAGTGGACTTATACATGATAAAAGATGCTTGATCATCAAGGGCGATATCTGTGACAGATGCTCCAGACCTGGAATTTCTACAGTTGCCTGATGTTGTGGTTGTTGTTGGTCTGGTATGGATACTACAGCTGACTCAACTTCATTCTGATTGTTTTCAAAGGTTTTATTTTTTGCTTTTGTTTTGACTTTCTTCGGTGTAGATTTGGTCTTCGGTTTTCTTTTACGTCCTGAAGATTGAGTTTCTGCACTACTATTCTGAGAATCTGTAAATTTAAATAAATTGATGAATTCATGTACTTTAAAGTCTTTTTGCTGTGTTGGGTTCTGTTTTTCTCTATTTTGATAATAAGTTAATAAATCAATACTTTCAAGTTTGTTGACTATTCATTTGAAAGTATTATTAGTCAGTAAGATTTAATGCTAACTTGCACAATGAACAAAAAGAACATGCCCAAGGCTAATTGCACAATTTCCACACCTTCTTTATATCTTTTATACAATCTTTATTATCAGTACTTTCATATTATATACTTTTATAAATCTTTTCAGGCCTATAAATTACGATGATTGGCAAGTCATAATGAACATGCTTTCTTCTCAAACTGTCTATATAGTTTCAATATTTAAAGACAATGAATCAAGTGGAACAAACAATATACATATGTAGTTCCAAAATTGTTAAATTATATGATAATATAATCAAATTATCAAATGAACAAGAGCCATGTCAACATGGCCATCCCCCGCCGAATGTGTTTGCTCATTGGAAGAATGTATATGTAGTAGAGCGGAATAATTCCATTTTAAGAGGTCTTTTGGTAATGAAAACTGATGGCTATAGTGATTACAGATTTGAAACCTATGTGAATACTGATGGCTGAAAATAACAAAGGGCAATTACTGAAAAATAATGCAGGGTAGGTTATCATTCTTGTGTGCTGCATCCCTCCTCAGTAAAATCTATCCACCTATGAAGTTTCAAGTTGATACCTCAAATACTTTTTGAGAAAAAAATTGAATTGAAAAATTAAGTATGAAAAAGAACAAAGGGCAATAACTCAAAAATTATAAAAGGTAGAGTTATCATTCTTGTGCAGTGCACACCTCCTGAGTGAGATCTATGCACCTATGAAGTTTCATTTTGATATCTCAAAAGCTTTTTGAGTTCTGCTCTAGACAAAAATTAATTTTGAAAAATAACAAAGGGCAATAACTCAAAATAATGCAGGGTAGAGTTATCATTCTTAAGCACTGCACTCCTCCTCAATGAGATCCATCCACCTTTGTAGTTTCAAGTTGATACCTCAAATACTTTTTGAGATAAGCTCTGGACAAAATAGCATGAAAAAAAAGGGCAATAACTCAAAAATTGTATAGGGAAGAGTTATCATTCTTGCGCACAACATTCCTCCTCAATAAGATCTATCCACCTATGACATTTCATGTTGATATCTCAAACACTTTTTGAGTTATGCTCCACTCAGGTGAAATATTAGGTATGAAAAATAACAAAGGGCAATAACTCAAAAATTATGAAAGGTAGAGTTATCATTCTTGTGCACTGCACACCTCCTGAGTGAAATCTATGCACCTATGAAGTTTCATGTTAATATCTCATAGGCTTTTGGAGTTATGCTCTGGACAAAAATCAATTTTGAAAAATAACAAAGGGCAATAACTCAAAAATCATGCAAGGTAGAGTTATCATTCTTGTGCACTGCACTCCTCCTCAATGAGGTCTATCCACCTATGAAGTTTCAAGTTGATAACTCAAATACTTTTAGAGATATGCTCCGGACAAAAATGTCGGACGGAAGGACGGACGGAAGGAAGGACGGAAGTTCTACGGACGGAGACTATTTCTATATCCTCCACCGAAATTTTTCGGCGGGGGATAAAAAATTAACCATTTTTGGCAGTTTGAAGTACTGGCAGTGTGGTACTATCAGGTAAAGGTTTCCGGAATAATGATTTTACTGCAGCAGTCAGTGTTGCCGTGTCTATTGTCGACAAGCCATCTGCCATCCTCCTGATAAACCTTAACTGTAATGCCTGAAATATATAACACTCAAAAATTGGTAATAGAATGTACATTAGAGTAAAACAAGTCTTCACTTATATAAGTATTTAATACTCCTGATACAACATGACTTGGCAATAGTCTACAACTTAAGTCATAAAACCTAAGACTGGTGTGACCTGCCAAGTAAATTAATAGAAAGTTCAAGCCCTCAAGTTTTAATCAGACAAGGATTTTACACCGAGTCTCACTGTGACCTTGACCTTTGAATTACTTCAAAATCAATAGGAGCTATTCACTGATCAAGGGCAATGTTCCTAAAAAGTTTCATGAACTTAACCAAATAATTGAGCCAACAAGGATTTTTCATGTAGTGTCAATGTGACCTTGACCTTTGACCCAATAAATGTGACCTTTGACCTAATAAATCAAAATCAAAAGAGACCATTTACCGGCCATGGTCAATGTCCCTAACAACTTTGAGAAACCTTAGCTTACTCTTCCACAGACAGATATTACAACAATTAATGACCGTGAATCAGTAAGGGTCATCTACTGGTCTTAGCAATGTCTTGTCCAAGTCTCACAAACCTAACCATAAATTTATGATTTAAACACTACACTTATCGATTGATCGGCTGTCAGTTGGAAACCAACATTAGACTGCTTATCTACATGTAATAGGTAGTTGCTTGATCCTTTATATAAGGTCCCAGATTTCTATATTCAGGGCTGGGAATCAAAACTGCGTCGTATCCTACAAAATGTAAACAAACGCCGCCATCTTGGAGCGAAAAATGTATGTTTTTGTTTATAACTCTTTTTGTCGGAAATGACTGAAAACAAGATATATGTATTAACACGCTACACTATTTTCCGCTTCGTTCGGTATATGTTGCTTGCACAACTATTTTGTAAAACAAAAGTTATAGCGAACTTGCAACTCGAAGCGGGGCAGAATTTTTATGAAAATGTGTGGATACGACGCAGTTTATATTGCTTTATCTATCGTTTTTTCCTTCAAATCAATTATATACTCGTTTTCAGAGTTCACCATAAACTTCAAAACATAATTTTGCATCATTTACTAAACTTTCATTTAAAAGAGATGTTTATTTTCCAAGAAAATAATGATTTATACGAAATGATATGACGCAGTTGAAAATAAAATATGATACGACACAGTAGTAATTTTCATTGCAGGCTGAATATTGGTTAAACTATTTAAACTATGTGCTAGGTATGCTTATAACGTCCGACAACATTTCTTGTTTACAACTTAAGTCAAAAGCAGAGGTCACTCATTGGTTTCATAAAAATGGGAATGTAATACAATTCTATTAAAGCTGCATTTTTCGGTCGCATTTTAGTACTAATCATAAGCATCTACAAATTCCGAAAAGCTGTATCAAATGCAATATTGTAAGGGACTGTGAATGTTTATCAACTAAATTACTTTTAGGACCTTGTAATGGATATATCAGTTTAAAACAAATAATGTTTTATGACAATATGAACATTAAAATAGCATAATTTATTGACAAATGAGGTAATACTTTTCAGTCAATGCTTAAAACTTACCTGCCAGGATTCCTGAACTTGCCTCAGCCATTCATATTTGCTGATTTAATTTGTTTAGATAATCTTCTGGTAAATGAAGGAATTTAAAGACCATGATGTAGGACATTCTGAGGCTCTAGGACTATATAAGGCACTATAAGGAGGTTTATACTTCAAGAAATGATTTATTTACTTACTTTGTTTATCCTGGCATCAAAATGGCCGACAAGAGTTGTCTACCTTGATTCAAAACTTTAAATGCGTTTATTTTCATAAACATATACAAATACTTATCATTTTACATGTAAGAACATAGAATGTAACCCTTATTTACCTAAGATTTAAGCTACATTCCAAATAATTAGCTGGCATTGCTGTATTTCATAATAATGTTGATGACCGGTATGACCTCTAAGTTTGTCAGGAGGGAAAATTCAAACTCCTGGCACTTGGAATCTTTTTATATCAATAGTTCATTTTTCTAAGCTATAACCATGATTGTTTTTGGTCCAGATCTTAAGTGCATCAACGTTAAGCATGTAATTCAAGTGTTTATTGCATATTTTGTTATTAGTTAACTTTGTTAATTTACATTTTTCTAAATTATTCCTGTCAATATGGCTGCCATTTTAAGAAGTTCCTGTCTTTCCTGCCAGACTGCCAGGCCAAATGGAATGTTATGATTGGTCAATTGTGACAGTCCTGGCCATTTCAGAGTCTATATAAGTAGCCATGACAGGCTGTGTTCAGTTGGCATTTTGGCTTTAAATCCTGACAGTCGCGAAAACTAGTGACAAGAGCATTTTGTATATTTTCATGGAAACTTCTATTGTTGATCTAGCAAATTTAGTGCTCTTCAGAGTTGAATAAAGAAATTGTGAAATTAACTTTTTATCAATAAAAGTTGTTATTTGAACAGTTTTTGACTTAGCTTACAATATACATTGAAACACGTGATCGCACACCTATATGACAACGTGTTCTAGTGTTGCCTTAGCATGCTTATAAACTTGTTCCTGGCCGTGAGTTCGAAATGGGAGTGATTACTATTTTTGATACAAAATTCAATATTTTAGTGTAACCTCTCCTGGACCCTGTATTAATCAGGAACGACCTTAAAAACAACAAGAGGGCCATGATGGCCCTGAGGTCGCTCACCTGTATATAGGCCCCCCCCATCCCCGGGCCAATTTTTACCCAAGGGCTTTTATTTGTTTATTTGAACAGACTTGGTAGACACCCATAAGAAGATGTTTCATGCTAAACATCTAAGTTCTAGCTCATTGGGTTTTTTAAAAGAAGATTTTTAAAGTTTTTACTATACACATATAGTTAAAAACAATGACACCCCTGGGGCAGGGCCAGTTTTGACCCCCGGGCTTTTATTTGAACAAACTTTGTAGATATTTACTTAAAGATGTTTCATGCTTAATATCTAAACTCTAGCTATTTGGGTTTTTTCAAAGAAGATTTTTAAGTTTTTGCTATACACATATAAGGAAAATCAATGACACCCCCCCCCCCCCCGGGCGGGGGCCAGTTTTTGAACCCAGGGCTTTTATTTTGAACATACTTGGTAGACACCCATTAGAACATGTTTCATGCTAAATATCTTAGCTCTAGCTCTTTGAGTTCTTTAAAAGAAGATTTTTTAAGTTTTTACTATATGCAACAGGCACGAGTATCGGACCTGGGAAGAAAAAATATGACCAGATTGATAAAAAAAACCTGTGTTCATCTTAAAAGTGTCAAAAAACCAAAAAAAGATGTAAATAATGACCCCCTTTAAAAATATACTATAAGTTAAGAGAAGGCTGGAAACTCCAGATTCGAGCCTACGAGCAAGGGATTCATTTCCCGGGCCGTTGTGAAAACAATTGGCCAGACAATTAAAAAAAACTTTTATCACTATTTCACGTTTATATTAAGCTTCAAAATGAGACCAACCCCAAGTCTCTAGCCCTTCCCGTTCATGAAATATCTATCAGGAAACGAGCGAATTCCTGCTAAAAATCCTTGGTAGACAGAATTGCGGCACAACAATTCGGTACGTAAACATAGACTAATACATGTATGTCAGCTGACTACGGGTCAAAATTACTTGAATTTACTAAATAATATTACTAAATACATTAATGTGGACCACTCACAACCGTCAGTAGCATCTGATACACACGAGATTCGAGTTTCAAACATTTACACGGTCTTTCAATCGCTTTCTACGCCATTAGGCATCCTTGTGTGAAACGTTGCGGTTTTCGTTGCTATTGGCCAATCAGAAGACTCGTTACAAAATATCGAACAGCTGATTGACAATGGCGTAGAAAGTAATCTAAAGACCGTGGAAAGGTTTGAAATTCGAATTTTGCGTGTATCAGATGCTTCTGACGGTTGTGAGTGGTCCAACTTAATGTATTTAGTAATATTATTTAGTAAATTCAAGTAATTTTGACCCGTAGTCAGCTGACATACATGTATTAGTCTATGTTTACGTACCGAATTGTTGTGCCGCAATTCTGTCTACCAAGGATTTTTAGCACGAATTCGCTCGTTTCCTGATAGATATTTCATGAACAGGAAGGGCTAGAGACTTAGGGTTGGTCTCATTTTGAAGCTTAATATAAACGTGAAATAGTGATAAAAGTTTTTTTTAATTGTCTGGCCAATTGTTTTCACAACGGCCCGGGAAATGAATCCCTTGCTCGTAGGCTCGAATCTGGAGTTTCCGGCCTTCTCTTAACTTATAGTATATTTTTAAAGGGGGTCATTATTTACATCTTTTTTTGGTTTTTTGACACTTTTAAGATGAACACAGGTTTTTTTTATCAATCTGGTCATATTTTTTCTTCCCAGGTCCGATACTTGTGCCTGTGATGCATATAGGGAAAATCAATGACCCCCTGGGGCGGGGCCAATTTTGACCCCAGGGCTTTTATTTGAACAAACTTGGTAGACACTCATTAGAAGATGTTTCATGCTAAATATCTTAGCTCTAGCTCTTTGGGTTCTTTAAAAGAAGATTTTTTAAGTTTTTACTATATGCATATTGGGAAAATCTATGACCCCCTGGGGCTAGTCAATTTTGACCCCAGGGCTTTTATTTGAACAAACTTGGTAGACATTCACTAGAAGATGTTTCATGCCAAATATCTAAGCTCTAGCTCTTATGGTTCTTTAAAAGAAGATTTTTTAAGTTTTTACTATATGTATATAGGGAAAATCAATGACCCCCCGTGGAGGGGCCAATTTTGACCACAGGGCTTTAATTTGAACAAACTTGGTAGACACTCACTAGAAGATGTTTCATGCTTAATATCTTAGCTCTAGCTCTTTGGGTTCTTTAAAAGAAGATTTTTTAAGTTTTTACTATATGCATATAGGGAAAATCAATGACCCCCTGGGGCAGGGCCAATTTTGACCCCAGGGCTTTTATTTGAACAAACTTGGTAGACATTCACTAGAAGATGTTTCA